AAACCAGGCGTTTTTCTATCCTACCTCACTCTTTGGTTTTTCTCTTCTATTATTTTTTTTTTTGATTTTGTTTTTCTAACTCAAGAAGTCGGTCAACATACAAGCCAAGCAAATTAATGCACAAGTAGCACGTAAAGAATGCATCAGGATGGTCCTTTAATTTTGGGTACACCTATCCTAGACGGACCCAACCCCTGTGTTCAGTCCCCTAAGTCAAATGCACGTGATGCAAGCAAACGTACCTACTAGGGATCCGGCATGAGGCTGTGTTATTCTAAATTTAAATCCTGGGTGTATTGTTCTAGACCTGGCTTACCCGAGCGGACAACTCGAGCCGAGGGGGGACAACGTACCGGGAATACAGAAGCTTCACCAGCTTTACAGCTTGTCCGAACCTCGTTCTAAAATTAGGATATGACTCTAACAGGAAAGAATCCACGCGAAGTGCACGCTTCCCAGAAGATTTAGAAGACTCAGAGAGAAGAAGGGTTTCGTAGCAGTTTATATACAATTCATACAATATCAAAGCGGTAAAAAAAATGGCATTTAGCACATTAGGCTCAAACACGTAAAAATAAGACAATCATGAAAGCCAATCATAACAGCTATTCTAAACTCGAATTCTGAACCCTGAACCAGAGATTCTGGGTTCTTGTCCCCAGCAGAGTCGCCAGAGCTGTCACACCTCCTTTTTTTCGAGGGAATATGGGATATGGGAGCTTTTCCAATTAAAGTGACATAAATCGAAATGAGATTGTTTATTGATTCAGAGTCGCCACTTGAGATAATTTATGGTGTCCCAAGTCACAGGTTTATTTTAAATTCCAAATCGAAGAAATTTAACTCTATTTATGGTCTGCGAACACAGAAGACCGGGTAAGGAATTCTGTTAACCCGGGAGAAGGTGTTAGGCATTCTCGGATTTTGTGGTTTTAGCACGGTCGCTCAACTATTAATAATTGGCCCAATTATCTGACTTATTACATATTTAAAACCTATTGCGCTTTTTAGTCTTCTGACCGCTTTTAATTATTTATGAAGTTTGTTTGAACAAGTCGCGATGTCGTACACTTGTCATTTTGGCACACGTCGCAAACCGCGCCACATGAAATACACCCACGATTTACGACATGCTTATTTTAATTATTATTAGAAGTTATGGTCGGGTCACATGAAATGCACGCCCGAATGAAATTTACGTATCGTGACCATGCCACGGGAACCGTACCCATGGCCACGATGATTCATTATTAATCGCGCCTAAAGCAAGCTACGATGTTCGATAAGTTATTCTTATTTCTATTAATTTATAAGAGATAAAATAACCTTTTCAATTACTTTGAGCCTTAAAAAGATCAAATTATTTCGCCCAAGTTTAATTTTCCAAAATAAAACGATCACTCCATGACCAAGACAATTGAATAGCCAAACTTACTACTTGAAAGGTTAAGCCAGCTTCTACCTAAACCAAATGAACTTAAAAGCTTCATTCTCAAAAGATACCATATGACCCATTAACAGATAAATTAGCTCCTAATTATCAATTGCCAAGCATGAATTTTTCTTCTAAATCTAACACCCACTGTGTACCAAAAATCAACCACTTAAGCAATAAACTAGGAAAGCTCAATGATAGGATGGAACAAAAGTTAATAAGATAATTATTTTAATCTCACAAATCACATAAAGACAAAATCATATATCCATGAACTTAGTATTCAATTAAATGCACATCGGAAGAAAGGAACCTCAATGGCAGCCGCTGAGAAGAATACTGAACAAAAGAGCGAAGACCGTCGAACTGGACCTCGGAGCGGCGAGCGGCGACCTCGAAGCCTACCGGTAAAACTCGAAACTCAACAGTGGTTCGATGTTGAGACGCAGCTGATTTTGGGTGGTTTTGACAGAGTTTTCTGCTGCGTTTTTACTGTTGGAAATTCGCAGATTTGGATGACGTTTTGCTGGTATTTTTTACTGCGTTTGGTGTTTGTTTGTTGGAGTTTTTGGTGTGGAAACAGGGTTGTTTTTGGGTGATCTTCATGGGTGATGGAGGCTGGACTTGAAGGTTGTTTTTGGGGACGAAAATGGCCGATTTTCATGGAGATTTGAAGGTCGCTTTACTTCTGCATTTTGGGGACTGATTTCAGGTTATTTGTTATGATTTTGAGAGTGGTTTAATGGAGGATGGTGGGTGGTTTTCTCTGATTTTCAGAGCTGTTTATGGCTACTTCATGGAGCCGCTACTTTGAGGAAGGAGAAGCAGTCCCCTTTTCTCTCGTTTCTCCTCTGTATTTTTTTAGATCTCAGGTGCTATATTTTTTGTGTAGTTGCGGCTGCTGGTTCTTTTTTGTGTCTGAAGTGGGGGAATTAGCCTAGAATTTTTGGGTGTTAATTTAATTTTTATATGATAGTGGGGAGTGAGTATTGGTCTTTGGATGAAAGTAGATCAATGGCTATAATTACGGGAGGGGTTTGATGGNCTTTGGATGAAAGTAGATCAATGGCTATGATTAAGGGAGGGGTTTGATGGGTGAGAAAAGGGTTTGGGCTAAAAGGGATTGGGAAGAATAGGCCTTTGTCTTGCTGGGCCACCAAAATACGAAAATGAGCTCCCAATTGGCCCAAATTCAATTCTTACTCATTGAGCAAAAAATAAAAATAAAAATACTAATACTCTCAAAATATACTAATTAATACAAAACTATTTTTTGGTATTTTCAAATAATAATAAAAATAATATCTTTCTAAAAATACCTAATATCTAAATTAAATAGAGAAAATAAAATTATTTTTGTATTTTTTCAATTTTTATGCTTTAAAAAATAGAATTAAAATTAATAATAAAGTAAAATCCTATAGAAATAAACTCAAATAATATTCTAAAAAATATTAGGACTATTAAAGGTAATTCTAATGTGTGGGTCAAAAATTACGTGCTTACATAATTTATTTTCTGTTGATTTAGATTCTTAATATTAGTTCATCTCATGTTTGAATATTTAACCGTGATTATAATTTTACCACCATAAATTTTATTTTCAAAGAGTAAAAAGATCGATGACATTCCAATTTTAGATCTTTATGTTTGCAAAATCATTAGTGGTATTGGCTCTTACCAATATTTTTTTTTCTTTTCTCACACATTTATATTCTTAAAAATTTTCTTAGTTGTTCTTTAATAACTTGGTATATTTTTCTATATTACACAAAAAATTAATAATAAAAAAATTATTTGAGTAGGAAAGGAGTTCAAATGTAATATAATAATATATTATCGTGGGAATTTTTTTCTCAATTTCAACGCTTTATGCAGTCCATTTAGCATTACTTTTTTTTTTGGTATTGAATATTATAAAGTTGTAATGTATTACCAATATGAAGGATTCGTATAAAATTGGTTTTATTAAACCTTCCTACATATTTTTAATAAGAATTATTAATTTTAAAATCTTAAATATTAAAAAAATTAACATAAAAGTTATTGTAGTCCAAAAAACAAATTATTACAGCTATGTCCTTTCCCTATAAGTTCTTTTGTTTAATATTTTAGGGATATTTTGGTCTATCTATATTATATTCGTGCTTTTATAATAATATATGATCTCCTGTTTCTAAATGGATTTGGACAATATAACGCGTTTTCAAATTAAATTAGTAATAGATTTTTTTTAAGAATATCCTAAAAGTAATAGGATTACAAGGCTAATAGGATTATACTAATAGGATTCCTACAGGTAATTATGTAGAATTCCTAACGTGTTGTATTATGTCCTAAATTTAATATGATTACAAGGCTAATGTCTAGAATTTCGATTATGTCCTTTTATTATGAGTTATTATGATTAATATTAAAAGGTTATTTTTGTAATCCAACATTTTATTCATGCTTTTATAATAATATAGATAGATTTGCAAAATTTGAAATACGATTACTAGTCATTATTGATTATGTTATTTAAAATTAACTTTACTTTTAAAAATGCATTATAAAATTAGAATACTCTTTTTAGCTAATGCTTTGACTAGTTGTTCTTCCTCTTTTGGCAACAAAAATGTAATGCTTGCTATTTGCGTAAACAAACAAATAATAGTAATGCTACTGCTCCATTTTATTTAGTCAATAATGTATGGCAAGCATCTCTAGCTTCGATATTATTCTTTATTCCTTGATGACTATACAAAAAGAATTTAGGTTTATTATTTATAAGAATGTTTTTGGTTCATTAGTTTCTTTCTTTCAATCCGCCGGTGGCAAAGAATACGATAATTAGCCTTGCCTTTCACTCCTTTTTAAAGCAATAATGAGTTGTTCATCGTATTTCTTGTCCTAACATTTCTACTCAAAAAGTAGAAGAGATGAAAGAAAACGTAGGCACGTTATTTTTTTTGTTTCTCGCCTGGTGTTCGGTATTCATATTGGGGCCCGATTAAATTCGGATTCGCACCGAAAATTTTTATATCGGGGTAAAACGCTCCCTAACAAAGGAACGTAGGCACATTGTTAATGTCATAGGTTGCCTTCTTTTTCAGGCCAACAAGCCATTCCATTTTTTGGTAGATGCATGTCTATATATATGTCACCTTTCTAATTAACACTACTCATTTAATTACAGTTGACAATCCTTATGTATTCGAGTCACCGCTCTGAGTTTCAGCCTCGAGAGCTGATCAAAATACGAGAGTCTAACTCAAAAAAGTAGCCAATATATTCAAACCAATGTTATTTACAATCAATAAGATACTCAATTGTTTCACATCAACATATCTTACACTTTAATAATGTTTTACAAGTAATAAAGTTTGCAAATTTAGAAATTTGCATAAAAGTTAGGATTACTACTCAATATTATTGGAATAATTATTTAATATATTTTTTTTACTTTTAATAATGCATTATAAAATTACAATATTCCTTATTTGATAGGGAGTAGTACTAGGACAGGATATTATATATAGTAGTACTATATACATATGGAAAGTAAGATTTTGAAGCCGTTGGAACGATTGGAATGGACAGCCATGCACACAGAGAAGAGGGGCGAAGAGAGCCACAAGAAGCTCAAGAAAATCGGCGAAGATTTCGAAAACTCCTATTTCGCAGCGTACGCTTTCTCGACACGAAAATTATCGCATTCCATTCATCAACATTCAATCTCTCTGCAACGCCGGCCGATCAATTACCTTTTTATCGACGATACTTTTATGTATCAACGGCGATCAATTTATTACATCTCTGTTACGGCGGTGCATTTAACGGTGTAATTCCGGCGATTTTTGATATCTGGAATTCGTCAGCTAGGTTTCTCAATGTCAGACGAAAAATTGATTAAATGTACATGAGCTTTTTCTTTGGATATAAATGGTGCGTCATTCTTTCGATACTTGAACTGCATTTGTTCCTTTTAGAAAAAAATGTTTTTGTTTCTTTTTCGTGCAATAGTAATGCAATTAGAGAAGGGACACATTAAGATGTAGTAATTGCATTCATTTGAATTCAGCATTGGAGAATTTATTCTTTTCGAATTACTATTTATAATCCAATAGATATATCCATTAATAGTGTATTAATGTTTTTAGAAATAGTATAGTTCAAAGCCTAAGAAAAGACTATATGAGTTCAGATTAAGTGCATAGTCTGTTACTCCATATTGTTAAGGCGTAGTAGTAGTTGTTTGGCAACAAGTTGTCGTATTTTTGTGCGTGAACACTAACTTAAACCGATATTTGAAATACTTGGAAGCCTTATAGTTCTTGAATTGTACTTCCATTTTTTGAGTCGATAGTCTGTTAGTCAGTACTGCAAAGAAATGAGAGAGAGTAAAAAATCAGCGGTGTTCCTGTAGCTGCTTAGGAGAGAGGAGAAAACCAATCTAAGTGGAATAAGCATTCAGAACAATGAAGTGGGTTGAGAACCATGAGGCCGCAGTTTCAAATCCAGCGGGGGCAAAAATACTAGGTGATTTCTTCCCATCTCCAAGCCTTGGTGGATAGAGTTACCTGATATTTGTTGCTGATCGGAGGTAGTAGGTATCCCGTGGAATTAGTCGAGGTGCGCGCTAGCTGGCCCGGACACCACAATTATCAAAAAATAATTTTTAAAAATAATGAAATAATACTCCAGCATTCAGAACTGTTCAAACTCCATGTTAGCCTAGGAAACTAGTGATGGCGTATTGCCATCATGTTAGAATGCTGCAGTAGCATCAAAGTGGTGACTGATCAAAAGAAACAATTATACTACATGAAGAGTAATTTTGACATGTATAATGTAAAACATATGATATATGAACCTNGGGGGCTATGTTGAGTAGTGGTGAGAAGGTTCTCTGGCTTTTGCTAAGTTGCATCTGCGGAAGTTAAAGCAGGACATCTAGTGTCACATTGTCCTTATGGATGTATTACTCATCCTATGTTCTTCTTGTGTTTTTTGGACTTTATGTGTTTGTGATGCAAATGAACATTTACCAAAGCTATTGTAAAGTTTGCTGTCCTATTGCTTTATATGTAGGAGCATAAATTGAAACATTCTGGTGCTACAAAGATAGTAATTGAACCGTTTGCATTTTAGCATCAACAAAGGCATTTTACAACACTTAATGATTCTATGTCTGAATATATTTTCTTGGTATATCCATAGATTGTGTGATAACAATTTCCTTAGCCTCTTCTGAATCTTTATATAAAACAATTACTACAGTCCAATNTGTGATAACAATTTCCTTCGCCTCTCCTGAATCTTTATGTAAAACAATTACTACAGTCCAAAAGAATCTTAGTCATTTATGCAGGGCATTCCAGTAAATATTACTGTAGGTTCTCATGTGTGGATCGAGGATCCATCAGTTGCTTGGATTGATGGACAAGTATCGGAGGTTAATGGACAGGAAATTCAGGTTCAGACATCTGATGGGAGGACGGTATATCTCTTTTACATTGAGTAGTATTCATTCATGAAATTACTGTTGCTTTATTTGTTTTTCCATAGAAGTTTAGTGTGTACACTGGACTCAATTGTATGACCAACTCTAACTTAATTGAAAATCTTGTTCTCCTATAGCCTAATTGATTAAATTAACTAAATCGACTTGAAAATAATACAATATTCTGATGATGGAATTAATGTCTTTTAAATACTGCGACAGAGGATCTAATTCACTAGTCTTCTTTGGTTGTTGCCGTAGTTTGCAACTGTAAGGCTTTTGCGGCTTCCATACCCATATGGGCCATATGTATCCATTTCTTCTATCTGTACTTGAACTGTATTTTCATTTTACCCTTCTTTCCATAAATATTGGCACATTAGCTTAATTGTTTTATGATATTTTAGTGGTAAAGGAAAGATCCACTGCAGTTGTTCTAATTTACTGCTATTTAACTCTCTAGTTTTCTGCTAAGGCACATTGACACAATTCCCAATTGACAATGCACATCTCTAACCTGGCAATGACCTGGTTTATATTGTTGCACATTTTCCTTTGATTTCATCTAGGTTGTAGCAAATTTATCAAAAACTTACCCCAAGGATGAAGATGCTCCTGATGGAGGAGTTGATGACATGACTGAACTTTCATATTTGCATGAGCCTGGAGTCTTACATAATTTGGCAACAAGATATCAACTCCATGAAATCTATGTAAGTTTATAGTCCAATGCTCAAAATTTTATTTACTTTATGTTCAATTTGGCTAAAGAAAGGATTGAAACTGCAGCTACAGATGACTTTCTTATAATATTATATCATACTCTGACATTATTGCAGACTTATACTGGAAGTATTCTTATAGCAATTAATCCATTTCAAAAACTGCCTCATTTATATGACGGCCACATGATGGAAAAATATAAAGGAGTACCACTTGGTAAACTAAGTCCTCATGTCTTTGCTATTGCTGATGCTGCTTACAGGTACTCCTGCATACAACTTCAACTCCACATAAATTTTCTCATGAAAAATAATGCTATTGTAACTGAAATCTTGAAAATGAATTAGGGCAATGATCAATGAGGGTAAAAGCAATTCTATATTGGTTAGTGGAGAAAGTGGTGCTGGTAAGACTGAAACTACAAAAATGCTTATGCGCTATCTTGCCTATTTGGGCGGCCATAAAGGCACTCAAAGGCGGACTGTGGAACAGCAAGTACTGGAGGTAAGCTAAATGCTCGGATTACTGTTTTAAACTCTTTTACTTCTTAAAATTACTAGGGCAGGTAGGTAGGAACTTGTACTTTCCTTTGAGGCTTAAATTCTGCATAATTTCAGCTATATAGACAACTTATTGCATGGCACGAGTGCATTGTCTAATCACAAGTAAGAAGAATATATATGAATATGCAACATTATGCTTTCTTTACCAAACACAAAAGAAACATGTCATGTTCTGGCGGTGTTAGTAATGCGAACGTCAGTCATGGAATGAAATTTCCAAATAGAGTGCAATAGATATAGAGGATTTTTACAACTAACCCCAACTAGTTTGGGTTGATTGATTGATTGATTTTTGGAGATGTGAATGCATGGAAAAGAAATGAAATATCTATTCACATAAAAATCTGAGCTTAAGATAGGATTAAGCCTAAGAAAATGATCTAAGTTTCAGAAACTTCACTGTCTATCTTATTATAAACTTCACAGATTCTTTTCCAATATAGTCTTATATATATATATAAATAAAATGAATTTGATAGTAGTTTCCTTAATTGAAAGTTTGTAGAGGGGTCAATGTCTATGTGAAACTGTCAGTATTTTGAAGGCTTTCACATCCATTTGAATTAAATAATTTCCAAGAGGCTCTTTTTCATGTCTAAACAGTCTAAATCATGAGGACAGGGCTTCAAACTGATAGGTAGTTTCTCTATTTCTCTTAAAGCCTTCTCTATTGGTTATCTCATTCCTTTAACTCTTGGTTGTTATATCTCCAGTCAAATCCAGTACTTGAAGCATTTGGCAATGCCAAAACAGTTAGAAATAACAATTCAAGGTGAGATACTGGCTCTACGCGTGTTTCCAATAAAAAAATTGTCTCATGATTGCTTCAACAATCAGTTGAAACTTTTTGCTTCTGAAAGCTACTTAGACACTGTTGTTTACAGCCGTTTCGGTAAATTTGTGGAGATTCAGTTCGACAAGAATGGAAGAATATCTGGTGCAGCTATTAGAACTTATCTGCTTGAAAGGTCTCGAGTTTGCCAAGTTTCAGACCCTGAACGGAACTATCATTGTTTCTACCTTCTCTGTGCAGCACCGCAGGAGGTAATCTGCAGCAATGCTATTCCTTTTTACATCTTTCATCACCCTGAGTAAATTTGATTGTCACAATACCCTTTTGACATTTTCTTAATCATAACAGGAGATCAAAAGGTATAAGTTGAGGGATCCCAAATCATTTCACTATCTCAATCAATCAAATTGCTATGAACTAGTAGGCGTTAGTGATGCTCATGACTATCTTGAGATAAGGAGGGCAATGGATATCGTTGGAATTAGCGAGAAAGAGCAGGTAATGCCCTAATTGCTTTTGTCTGTCCTGCAACTCTCCTTTCTGATTTTAAGAAGCTACTCTGTTTCTTCTTCAGGAGGCAATTTTTAGAGTTGTGGCTTCTGTTCTTCATCTTGGTAATATAGAATTTGCAAAGGGCAATGAAATTGATTCATCTGTTCTGAAAGATGACAAATCTAGGTTTCATCTTCAAACTACCGCAGAGCTTCTGATGTATGTTCTGCCCTTCATATTTCACTACTCTTCCTTTGCTCTTTCCAGCATGAATTTTTGATTTGATTCAATTTTTCTATCAGGTGTGATGTTACTTTACTGGAGGATGCCCTACTGAGACGTGTAATGGTCACTCCTGAAGAAGTTATAAAGAGAAGTCTTGATCCTGAAGCTGCAGCAGTAAGCAGAGATGGGTTAGCTAAAACAATATATTCTCGCTTATTCGACTGGTATGATTCTACCATCACCGCCAGATCAGTGTGGTTCTTATCTGTTACATTGAACACTAACGGAAAATTATGTCTACTGTTCACAGGTTGGTGGACAAAATTAATAACTCGATCGGGCAAGATCCTAACTCCAAATCTCTAATTGGTGTTCTTGACATTTATGGTTTTGAAAGTTTCAAAAGTAATAGGTAGGCACTGGTGGACAAACAAAACAAGTAGTAAATGTGATGTCATGCATTTGACTTTTCTAACTTTTATTCCCAGTTTTGAACAATTCTGCATTAATTATACAAATGAGAAGCTGCAGCAACATTTTAACCAGGTATGGTAGTTCAAATTTTATAGAAGCAGTTCTGTCCATTTTTGCTAAGCACAACTCAATTACTGTGAAATACATCTTTTTTCAGCACATGTTCAAGATAGAGCAGGAGGAATACTCTAAGGAAGAGATAAATTGGAGCTATATAGAATTTGTGGACAACCAGGATGTCCTAGATCTTATTGAAAAGGTTCCATCGTTTTGGTTTATAGTGAAACCTTTTGGCTTCAAATATACAAATATATCTGTTTGCGCATTATAGTTGTCGTTCGGTATAAACCACTTATGTGAAAATGGCATATCATGAATTGATTTATATTGCTGTTTACAGAAACCTGGAGGTATCATTGCTCTTCTTGATGAAGCCTGGTAAGATATGTAATAGTTCATCTACTATGGGCATTATACTGCTTGTGTGTCCCCGCATTTAGCGTCTAATTTTCTTTATATGAGCTTCTGTGGGAGAGAGGGATCTTCTAATTGACGTTTTCCTTGAATGAATTTTTCCAGTATGTTCCCCAAGTCAACTCACGAAACATTCTCACAAAAGCTTTATCAGATATTCAAGGCCAACAAACGCTTTATCAAACCAAAATTGTCCCGCACTGATTTTACCATTGCTCATTATGCTGGAGAGGTAATATGATATTTGTTTTTTCTTAGAAGTCTGGTCAAATGCTTCTACGGTTGGATATGGGGCATTATTTACTACTTGCTTAAAATGTTTCCTTTTTTTCCCACCAGGTTCAATACCAATCTGATCAATTTTTGGATAAGAACAAAGACTATGTTGTTCCTGAGCATCAGGATTTGTTAAGTGCTTCTAAATGCCCATTTGTAGTGGGCCTTTTCCCTCCTGTTGCTGAGGAGTCAACTAAATCTTCATCCAAATCGTCCAAGTTCTCATCCATTGGTTCTCGTTTCAAGGTAGTTACTAACTTATATACTTCTGATGAATTTTGGTGATCAATACTAATTATCAATAGCAAATTAGATTGATCGGCTATATAAATTTACATATCCTCTCAGTTTCATTCCATTTATGCTTAATAATTTGTAGTTTAATCCAAATCAGCATTTGTAAACTAGGGGTTCTCTAAAATCTGAACACTTATCCCTACATGATGTACTTAATCACAACTAATATGTATTGCATATATGAATTGTTTATACTCATTGTGTTATGCTCTAAGCTAAATCCTCATGAATTTTGAGAGGCTGTAGGTCTTTTGAGGCAACTTTCCCTTGTGTGATTTTAGGCCTACCGTCCACTTTTAGTACATTCAATCATCATAGTATCACAATTGCGACAAGTTCATGTGAAGGCCTATGTTGGACATGACCAGACCATCTCTGTCGACATTCTATTATTTTATCCCTTTGTGTGCCACACTGCCGCTTGCATTCTCCTATTTAAGTATCTACTCATTAAGGAATATCAGGTATCAAATTGCGGTGATATGGTCGTTCTAATCTTGTCTATTCTTGTATTATTTCAAATCCGTCTTAATTCTGCAAATTATGACACTCATCTCATGGATGTGTTATACTTCATAGTTCCAACATTCACTCTCAATAACAGTGCTAATCAATAACCATAATATAAAACTTTCCTTATATTTGGTAGGTGTCACCCTGTCACATATGACTATCATATCCACCCCTCCATTTTGACCATTAAGTTTTAATTCTATCTATTACTTTATCTGTTATGTCCTCTTGGATTTTTGTGATCTAAGAATATTTTTCACCAAAGAACTAACAGCCTAGTTCCAAGTCCTAACTTTAAATAGGTGATAGAATCTAATGGCCAATTTACTGTTGCAGTTACAACTCCAATCATTGATGGAAACCCTGAATTCTACAGAACCTCATTACATCAGATGTGTGAAGCCTAACAGTCTTTTGAAACCTGCAATATTTGAGAATGTTAACATTATGCAGCAGCTACGTTGTGGTGTAAGTAAATTTCACATTTTCATATGAAGAAATTCCTTTTTAATTCTTGAATTATGTGCTTATATTTTGTTGTTTGAAGGGTGTTCTAGAGGCAATTCGAATTAGTTGTGCTGGCTATCCTACGCATAAGACATTTTCTGAATTTCTGAATCGATTTGGCCTTCTTGCTCCAGAGGTCTTGGAAGAGCAGTAAGTACTGGTCTTGTTCCTGTTCATCAAAAAAAAAAAAGACAAAAAAGGATATTTGTGGTTTCCCAGTTTGACCTCTTGATTATCAGCTGATATACTATCTTTCTTTAACTTGTTTGTGGGCAGCGTTGATGAAAAAGTTGCATGCGAAAAGATATTAGAAAAGACAGGGCTTGCTTCTTATCAGGTTATTTGATGCTTGTCTTGCTATTTTTTGTGAACTGATTTCTATTTCTTAAATGTCTATTATCAATACTATCAAATTATTTACTTCTATGCGTACACACAAAAGAAATATGTATGTGTGTGTGTGTCATTTCATCCAGTGCCTCTTTGTAGTGTAGAAGTTAACAATATTTCCTTCACCATCATTTTCGAGAATGTAGCCCAATTCATGATAATAATATCATTTTTACCTACCTTGCGACCTGCCTAAATTAACAAGTCTTATTTCAAGCAGCAAGTTTGGATTTTTCTAATAAAAGGTTCTTTTTTTTTTTTTTTGCAAAAAAGGAATCATGCTCTTGCACTTCGAGCATGTCGGTTAAGTTGCTCTCAATTATTAGACTATTGATACTTTGTCTTTTACTTGCAATGATTGCATATCTTTGCTGATAGATAGTTGCATATACTTGCATAGTAGAATTTGCTAATCTGAGGCACTCAGAGCTTTCCTCCTGTTACTCTGCTGCTGATATCTGTAATATAATTGATTTAATGCGTGGAAAAGTTGTCCACAATATTTTCATGTACATGTTCCAAGGATCATTTTAAGCTTGACAATTCTTCTTCTTTCATTTAAATTAACTTCCCAAATTTATGAATCAAGTTATACTTCAGACAGGGTTGCTAATATTGTTTCGCAGATTGGAAAAACAAAGGTTTTTCTGAGATCAGGGCAGATGGCCGAGCTAGATGCACACAGAGCATTAAAGCTAACCACTGCAGTTAAGACAATACAAAAGGAAACTAGATCTCATATTGCGTGGAAATATTATGTTTCTTTGCAGAAGGCTGCAATTTGCTTACAATCCTTGTGTCGAGGTTTGTCTATCATTATCTGTTTGGCTTGTCTCTCTCACATTGTGAACTTTGTTTTGAATGTTAGATGTTTTACCCATTTACTAAGTTTCATTTTGCTACTTACTGGGGCATTTTGGTAGCTTACTTCACTCATGTAATCTGTCGCTACCTCAATTCCTTTACAGTTAGATAAGTGAGCAATTCCAGTAGTGAGTCTTCCTCTTGTACATTGATCAGGTTGCAACGTAAAGCTAACAAGATACATTTTTATTTTAATCTAAGTATATTCTCTTAAAACGAAATTGTCTTAAAGCAATCCATCGAAATCCAGACTTAGCCAAAAAAAAGAGAATAATGGAAGAAATATTCCATACAGGCAAAGCCAACTAGTTGAGATCCATGCAGACTTAGCGAAAAATAGAGTACAATGGAAGAACATATCCATATAGGCGAATCCAGCTAGTTGAGATTAAGGTTTTGTCTTGTTAGTACGCTCACATTAGTCCAATATTTGCTAGTTGTTTTTTTTAATCTTGTCAGGTGATTTGTAGATCAGTAGAAAATGTTGAGAACTTCTAGGATTAGAGAAGCTAGTTTATTGAATAATGGAACAAGATGAGTCTAAGTAGAGCAAAATGGATAATGAGGACTCATATAGCCAACCTTAAATAGCTTAGTACTGAGGCGCTTAGTGTTGTAAATTCTCTGTTTCTCCTTCAAAGTACTTATGGTTCCTTTCTTTGCACACCACCCACCAAATACATGCTGGAATTGTATCCCTTCTAGATTTGTCAGCATTATTTGTTTTATTTTAGAAGTAATAGGGCAAAGGTTTGGAGAAAGTGGAAGTGAGAACTTTCAAGAAAATAATGGGAGTCATATTTTGTAAGATTTACATCCAAGAAAAAATAGACCATCTCTTTTATTTGGAAGGGGCCCGGGGGGTGGGGTGCGGGGGTGTGTGGGTGGATTATTAATATGCCATTACATATATTGATGTATGTGAATTTCTTACTGCAGATATAAAAGGCCAGGATAACAAATCAACTTTTGCTTTCGTATCTGTTATTTAGACAAGTTTAATAAAAAATCAATAGTACTTTCTTTTCTGGATAGATACTTCTTGTTCTCAGAATATTTATTGTTTTTGCCTTTACAGAGTTCCAAACCATTAATTAATTCCCCATAATCTCCTTTCATCACCATGATCTAAGGTCTCTTATGTACAAGCTGCTGCATTCCAAAAAAAAGAACAAGATTAAAAAAACGTATTTGTCAGCTTAAGATGTGATACAAGTGCTCAGTTAGTTCATCTGTGCATATTGTCTGAAGTATATGATAGTAATACCGTCACCCTGACATCCTCCTCGTTTGCTAAAAGTTAGATCACTTATGCATGTTCCGTGTTGTAAATATGAGCATCGTGGATATAATTGCTGTATTTTCACACCTTTCTAGAACTGCATCCACATTAGAACAAGCTTTTCAGCTTGGTCTACTCTTCCAATAGGCTGCCCTATTTTTCCGCATTCTATAAATTTATGTGCTCGCTCTCTCATATTCTTCAGCAAGGTTTGCTTTCAAATTGTATGTCACCATGAAAAGAGAGGCTGCTTCTCTCAGAATCCAGACAAAGTTCCGTGGACACTTGGCCAGAAAATCCTACACAAAACTTAAATGTTCAGTCATTGCTCTTCAGACTGGAATTCGAGTGGCAGCTGCACGAGAGAAGTTCAGATATGAAAAACAAACCAGGGCAGCAATTATTATACAGGTTAGTTTGTTGGGTTTTTTAATTTATTGATTCGGGGTTCATACTAAGTTTGTTCTCTAGTGCTGACAAGATAACATTCTTGCAGGCCCATGAGCGTCGTCACAAAGTCTTTTCATATTATAATAAACTCATATGGGCATCAATTCTAGCACAATGCAGATGGAGGGGAAGAGTTGCAAGGAGGGAGCTTCGGAAACTAAAGATGGTAGGTTCTGGATTACTATACTCTTATATTACCTGTGTTCATAGTTTTCCAATTTCCTAAGCGTAGTAGTGGCCTAATGGTTTGACGATTTGAATGACTGGATGATCTATCTGCTAGCTAGGGCTTGATTACTGAAGTGATACATGGTTCACTTGTTTGTTATTATTTGCATAATAGAAGTACATGAGAGGCTGTTTAAATACTTCTCTGAAGCTTTTAGTGGAAAGTATTGAGTGTCTACGAAGCTTCCTGTCAGTAAACCTTGTAGACCAGTGGTTAAAATGAATGCATATTAAAAACAGATCAAAAGTATTCATATCCTTTTAATATAGGAACTGTACCATTTGAAAGTACATATGTACATGTCACTTACTTTGAGAGTACAATGTCACATGCTAACAAGAGATATTTAAGCTCAAATAGTTATTACTGTAAATTTCCACATCAGGTAAAAACAGATGTATACATCATAAATTATGCCTTTAAGAAGGAATCAGGCGTAAGTCGTTAGTCTTAGTGCATCTCTCAATTAGTTTCATTTTGATTTCATTTTCGGTAACATGATTCCCCTAAATTTCCTGCTGTGTAATTGCCCTTTTCCACGTGAAATACAGAAGAGTGCATCAGAATTGTTGCTTGCAAATTTGATAGGTTAATCTATTGACTATTACAAATATTCCCTAACATCTATGGATAGATAATATACATTTCAATGTCTTCAGGCTTCAAGAGAATCAGGCGCACTGAAAGAGGCAAAGGTTAAGCTTGAAAAACAGGTTGAAGAACTTAAATTGCAGTTGCAGTTGGAGAAACGTCTAAGGGTGATATACTTGTACTAAGCAGATAAAATGTTTCTTTTTTCCCTGCACCGTATGTATAGCACATTGGAGATTTTATTTGTATAGCATTGGTAGATAAGATATTACCTGAAAGTCCAAACAATCTGGGATTCTTGGGCTTGTGGGTTACAATGAGTTTTCCATTTTGAGAAAGTTGAACTATTTGAAGCATTCGACAAATCACAAATAGGAAAATCTCTTTTCAGATGGACTTGGAAGAGGCAAAGGACCAGGAAATAGCAAAATTGCAGAATTCATTGCGGGGCATGCAAAGCAAACTGAATGAAACAAATACATCGCCCATCAAGGAATATGAGGCTGCTCAAAAAGCTATTGAAGGAGACTCTTCAACAGTTGAAAAGAAAACGGTCCCAGTTGAGCATGCAGAAACAGTTGAAGCTTTAACTGCAGAAGTGGAAAATTTAAAGGTATGACAGTCAATTCATAGAGTGATCCACACACCTTTTCCCTTCACATTCCTCCACCCTAAAGGCCTAAAACTGAGGAGAGAAGATAGAGAAAAATAGTTGAAAGCATTCATCTTTTGCCAGTTACATATGGTTGATGTCTCATGCTTATACCTATTGATAGGTGTTATTTAAAAAAGAAAAGCACCGTGCTGATGATTCTGAAAGGAAATGTGCTGAAGCTCAGGAATCAAGTAAGGAGAAGTGCCGGAAGTTAGAAGAGACCGAAAGAAAAGTTCAACAACTCCAGGACTCGCTTAACAGGTAGCATTACTCGAATAATTGGTACCAGATTTAGTCTTTTCATCTTATAAGAACATGGATCACCAAGGTTTGAGTCGGCAAAAATATAAACTGTGATAATGCCTTTTAAAACATACTGGGGCGGGGGAATATCCCTTTTTCTCTTTCTATTTGAACCATTTAGCAACTGAAACCAAACTTGAGAGTTATATTTCTGAATGAAGTTATTGGTTGCTCTTTCTACCCATTTCATGTGAGGGAGGACTGGACTTCAGGAATTAACTGCAGGAATTAATCAGGACTCTTTTACCAAATTCTGACATCACGTTTAATTTGTCACCTGATTAATAGGTATATTGATCAAAATGTGCTTGAAAGGGCTCTTAAGTTAGTGGTCCCTCTGAAGCAATGTGATATGTGCCCTTCAAACTATGCGTTTGTTAAAGATGAAGACAAACATATAACATTAAATAAAATACCTTATTGTAATTGCAGATCTTCTACAAAGAAATATATATTTGACAAAAAGAAAAGGATAAATTGGTATCAAAGTGTATACAAAGGAATCCAAAGGTTGGGGTTCCAATTTAGAAAAATCTAGGGAATCTCCTAAGTTCGAAACTGTACAAAATATTCGGAAAATAGATTTTTTTGTTTCTCGAAAATCTGCTTTATATAAAAGTTCTAGTTACCAGTTTGACTCTGAAAACAGCATGCTATTTGAGTTCAATGTTTGACTTTGATTCTAAAAGACATGATGCTATCTGATAGATTTTTGTAACCAGTCAGACGCTTCAGATTGCTTAATTTTCCTTTGCATTGGAACTTCTCATCATGGCAAAATGCTCAGCCAAGACAAATAATTGGCATATATTCCTATTAGCTTATAATATACAGATAAGAAATCATAAACAAATTAGTCTTAATATCATATTTTCTAGATATCTTTTACAAGGAGTGCTGCTTGGGATGCTATACTCACGGCGCATAACCTGAGGAAGAGGGATACATCACTATATCCGATGTTGTATGTGCAAGAAGAATTGAGAAGACACCAATCATTTGCTCCATCACTCCAACTATGCCACAGAACCTCGGAGTGTGGTGTATTCTTTGTTCAAGTATCTCTTGGGTACTCCCTAGAACTAATGCAGAAAATAGCATCTTCGAGGATGAGAGAGGGGAGAGAGAGGAGGAAATACGAAGGTTAGCAACCTTGTACATCTTTTGGTAAATATGAGGATAAGGGAAACGGGGATGCTTGAAGGAGTCGAATAGCACAAAGAAGATCAAGTGCTTATTGTATCTATACTTTTGGTGTAAAGAAAGCATTCCATTATGTATAGACAATGGAATGGCATTTTGGAAAACCTTCTAAAGTCTTGTAACTTCGGCCTTGGGGCATATTAATAAAATGATTTATTTGATTCATCAAACATAAGAAAGAAAAAAGAATTACGAAAACCACCTCAGCTTGGACGATTATCTTTTGACGAACTGAATTGGTCATATAGAACTGGTAGAATCATTGTGCACTACTAGATGGAAATGATACGTTAAACATGATAAACTTCCTGATTTGTAAGGTCAGGCTGGGGTTAACTAAAGGGCGCGTACAATGACAATTATGTGGAGAAATTTTCTAGAATTTGTCAAGTTCTCCTGGTAGGTCTGCTGGAAATTCTATGAAGTGGCAGTTACAGGTGATATCTTGGAAATGCTTGAAATGGATGTTTGTTCACATGAAGAGTTATTTTTCCTGCTACTGTTGCATTAAATTCATAAGCTTTAGTGTATGTGGTGAAAACTGCTAAGTCATATTTGAAGCATCATGTATCTAGCAAAGTATGCCTTATAGATGATTCATTTGCTATCACTCATATCTATGGTGTTGTGAGTCAGGTTGGCACTGAAAGGTGCCGACGTAATAAATGTGTCAAGCGGTGCAATGTGTCTTTTAGTTATTATCCACACATGTTTTTTTTTAAACATTATCTTCATATGTAGGAATAGGTGTTTTTGGAAGAAGAATTGACCAATTTTCTGTATTCTTCATTCCTCATAGATTTTCAACTGTGGTATAATAATTGCTTTCTATATATGAATATTTCTTTTTGGTCCTTTTTATTAGAGTCTCTGCTGGAAATCCTCTATAACCTTCTATACTTAAATTGGGATCTCCTTAGATTTACTCCTTTTATTATCACTGGAAGTTTGAATCATTGGATGTGATCATAGCATCACATTTGATCCCATCAGAACTCCAAAACTAAGCATTGAGTGAGAGTAGAATATGGTGGGCGACCCCTTGAGAAGTCTCTGCGTTGCATCTTCCTTCTGTAAATAAAACAAAAGTTTGCATCTTCAGTACTTTTGTGTTAATCATATAACTTTGAAGATTTTAGATCATTGTGAAGTCCGGCATCCATATGTTGATTATTGATTATTCTGGCAACATATAATTTTGAAAACTGTTATTGGCAACAATCTTATTAAGGCAGATGTATGCTGATTCTTTACGGTGAAACTGAATCTAGAGTTCTACATGTACTCAATAATGTTAAAATTTATTAGTTTTTTGAGTTACATGAAGCCTTCAAGCAATTCATTGGCACAAAGGCATCCATGGAACTGCATGTTAGAATTACCTTTGATGTTATTTATCTTTATCTTAGAATTTATTGGATCAGACTACCTCAGATCATTGACAGCTTCAAGCTGGTCTTTTCTGTTGTCTTGCAACCTCCCAGCAAAAGACAAGCATAAAAAGAACTCTTTGTACCCTCACTTTTATCCACTTTCTTAGTCATAAAGAGGAAGACTTCACTTCCGGTCTTGCTTCAGAGCAGAATGGATTAGTTAGTAACATGTAACTATATTTTTGGCATGTTAAATCTCCCCTTTTTTGCATCCTTTTTTTTATATGTTGTGTTTTTGTTTGGTTGGTGATGTTTAAAAAGCTTTCTCTTCTATTGTCAATTAGAAATTGCTCTCCTACTGAGGAAAGGACAGAACTGTTTAGCTTGTGAAAGACACTTCCTTTTTAAGCTCTATGTAAAATACTTTGCCAGCATAGTGGTATCTGTTAGCTCCTTTTCGTATGAAGTTTCCAATTTTTCCCAAGTGATATCCTTTTCTTGTTTTTTCTTGAACTATTCTGGAGACCATACATGAATGTTTTTTATGGAGAAGGCACTTTTGACTCTTTGGTGAAATGAGATATAATCACCTAAGTCTTTTACTTAGTGACTTCTAAGATGCATCTGGAAAAGAAACTGGAATGAAAACAGGGTAAGGTATATTGTAGTAAACAAACGGGACTAAGGATAAGTGAAGATAGGTAGTGTCATTAAGTTTCTACATCCCTGGGAAGACTTTAAGATTTTTACCATAAGTTGAAGGAGTTAAATCTTATAGCTTCCTTTTAACATTAGAATCTCTTGTGTCATATGACTAATACTAGCTATGATCTAGTGTGCCTCAGGATGATTTACAGCATATCAGACCAATTCTCAGAGCTGAAAAAGATATTACGTCCCTCCTCCAGCCAGAGTTCAGCTTCAGGACTCATTTCTAGAGGTTACCCAGATGATGCTACATCTGCTTCAGCTGATGCTGCGTCTGCTGACTCTGACTTCACATTTCAAGCTCCTGGTTCAACTCCACCACATTTATCTTCCCCTGATCCTCATGATTTCCAGCTTATAGTTCAGGATCTTGCAGCAGCTGAAATCTCAGGTCAGTCTAGTGTCCCTTAGGGTGGCTTGAGCACTTTTACTAGTCCTAAAGTACGGCACCATTCACTTGTTCTCCACGAGCAAAATCAGGATGCTAAATTCCTCTTATTCTCATTGCAGGGAATGAAATTCTTTCCATTTAGTAGAAGTCTCCCGTTTATCCTTTAGACAGTGATAGTTTAGTTACAGCTGCATAATTCTTTTTGTTTTTTGTTAAACTGAACCTGCTACAAGAAACTATATTATATATCCCTTTTTCTCTTGGTTGGTTGTGTTGTGCAGGTTCTGGAAACTGGGAAAATGACCGAGAGGGGGTATTCGATGACTTTTTCTGATGGAAATTGCTCTTCAATTTGTTGTGTCTCCCTATACACACTACAGAGATGCTAGCACTTTACTAGATGAATAGCCTACTTGAGCTTATACTAGGCATCTCAACCAGATCTTTGACAACTACTTTGTACAGTAGAATCCCAGACAGTTAATGTTCAGGTACAGTTTCTCAAGCAAAGGTTTCGTTCCGGTATTAAGATTTTTCTATAAACTTCTTTTGTATGTCCTGAATATATGTCTGAATGAGTAGGTAACTGAAGTAAAATAGTCAATTGAATGTAGACTTGCAAGAGCTGTCGATCCTCTTTTAAGACATTTATAGTGCTCTCCATGAGTTAGAGCCACTCCATCTGTATGCAAAGCTCTTGAATACCCTTTCTGTGCATTACTCCAACTTTTCATTTGCTCCTCCTGATTTTTTCTGAAATCTTCACTGAATAAAGACTCTGCACCCCTCCCCATCAGTACAGTGGCGGGCACTGCATATAGCAGCATCGTCTCATTATCTTGTCTCAGGTTTTCATCCTTGTCACTTAAAACATTCTCTAAGATATCAATGTTGTGCTTCAGCCAACTCCTATTTGTAGGCTATCTTGTCTATGTTCATATCATTTTCTTCCTATTCTGTGTTTTTATCCCTTTCCCTAACTAGGTCTTCTGAAGGTCTCCAATAAAAAAATGCCAATGGACCACGATCATGTCTGTTATTGATATCCATCTTGGAATAGTTGAATATTGCGGGATTTACTTCATTAAAGTACTTGTCCTTTTTCAATAGGCTTGACGAAAAGCTGACCAACTTACATTTGGAAAACAAAAATCCAAGTCAGCTGGCTCTGTCAATGGCTCAAAATATGAGATGCTGTTGCTCCAGATCAACGATTCAGGTAATCCTGAGCAAAATGCTCCTCTTGGACAATAGAGTCTTTATCTTTCATACTGTTTACGCATTTATGTGATATTGACTGAGGACCTGAAGCAGAAACTGGAACATAGTTAGTCAAGGGCTTGCAGATTAGTTGTCCTTCAGGTATTTTGCTTACCTCTTCTATCGGTTGACTAAGAGCTGGAATTTGTAATAGGATCTGGCATAGCACATCATTGAATTCAAGCGTGAACTCAGAGGTTGAGTGAAGACCACAAAAATAACTTAATGAGAAAAAACAAGTGTCAAGAGTCAAGACTTGCTCATCCAATGTATTGCACTGCACGTTTACTTCTTTAAGGAAAGAGCTGTTGCTGCTTGCATTATCTACAAGTGCCTTAAGCAGTGGCGTCCATTTGAAGTTGAGTGGACCAGTATCTTTGACAGTGTGATACAACGGATAGGCAAGCTATTGGGGTACGAATTAATGTTGTTAGAATGTTGTTATGTGCAAAGCTTTGATTCAATTAAATAAATGCAGGTTCTTTTTCCACGTAAAAGGTAGTTATTCTGAATTAAAACCTATTGGCTAGCCGAGACATCCACTCTGTTCGTGCTGCTGCAACACACATTAGAAGTTGGTATTCTGCTGGGTAATACCCCACAAGCAGTGACATTGGCTACTCTTCCGTAGAATGACACAGGTAAAATTTGATTATTTTGTACATTGGTTGTTACCATTTAGCAGTTAACTCCACTTGACGATAAACATTTTCCTAGAGCTGTCATAGAACCCCCTCAAGGAGTTAATCTTTCTCTCATTAATGATGATTCAGCTGGTGTAGTGGATACCCTGAGCCATTTTGAAGACAAATATCCTCCTTTGCTGTTTAAATAGCAGCTGAACAGCATAAGTGGAGAAGATTTATGGACTAATCTGCGATAATTCTGCTTTTTGGATTCTGCATCAAGGTTCAGAATGTAACATTTTTCAGTGTAATTATACAAATATAAAAAGAGGACATAATATGTGATGTTTACCTGATGCCCTTCTGATTTATTTCTATAACTGATTTAGGCTACAAGATTATCCAGACCAGGAATACTTAATGAGACAGCAGTACACTCGCCAATGCTGCTACTCAGGAAAATTTTGGTGCTCACTGCTGACGTGTCAGCGTTGCTGTCTTTCTAAAAATCCAATCATGTAAAAGCCTATCCTTAAATTTGCTCTTTCTTCCACACTCTCCTTTCTTTTCTTTACTTTTCTCTTCTCTGGCTTCATAAGAATTCCCTGTTTGTGCACCAAATTCTTTTTCAGGTTTATAGCTGACTGGTGGCGAACTGCGGAAAGAGCAGGTGTGCCAATAAACATGTGTAAAACTTGGAAAGCCTGTAGATTAAGAGAGAGACACCAAACACAATTTTGCTACAGAATTATGCAGTAGTAATAGTTACACTCTGAGCACAATATTGCAGCAGAATCAAAAGTTCAATGAACAATCAATCGACTAGATCTGTATCCAAAACTATATAAGTCATCTGTTTATGTTTAGAGGATTCTTCATAACCTAATTATTTTTACCTAGCTGTCAACCTACTATATCCCTCATCTTTTATGACCAAGGATTAAATATATTTTTTAATGCATCATATTACATAGGGGAACTTTTCTAGTGAAACGAGTTCGTCCCTTTTAAGTCTGAAACATAGTAGTAATTCATTACAAAAAGAGGTAGGGTATCAAAAAACAACAAATCATCTTCACTTTCTTCAAGTTCTCTTTTTGCTAATCTATGCTTTTACGATAGCCTTCCACGACTAGTCATGAGGCACTTGCAATCAGTTAATTCATGTAAGTATTTAATTATCTTTTATATTTAATAGCATGGTTATAAATTATAATCAAGGAAAAGAGAAATGTTTATGCCAAAAATAAAAAAGGAAAAGGGAAATGTTTGGCAATGAAAATGGAAATGGTGTTTCTGTAACCGTACCGTGGAAATGCCTTATTATAGCATGTAAAAGATCACTGGTTAAGTTCGGAAATGAAATAGTATCTCACTTTGTGAATTGGGGGACAATTTTCTTGCCTGTCACACCTATGATTTAAAGACAGTAGCTGAGCTTTTATTTGTCATTTTCAGTTTCCGTATCAATACCATGTCCCGCTTCGTTCATTTCCAGTTTTTAGTTGGAACTCAAGGCAGAGGCGGAGCCAGGATTTAAATATAATGGGTTCGGGATTCTATTACTTTTAAGTTACTGGGTTCTAAATTAATAATTTATACATATTTAATAAATTTTTAAAGATAAATACAGAGTTTGAACCAAAGCTACTGGGTTCGGCCAAGTCCCTGTACGAAGCTCTGGCTCCGCCCCCGACTCAAAGACTCAAAAACATCATAGTTCAAGGCCTATGAAAGGTTCTTTCAGCTAATTTTCTGTAATGTGAGGGCAAAGGTTATTGCAGTAAACAAAATTAATCGTTGGTCCACAGCCACACTTCTATAATTATGCTTCTTTCAACATGATCATGAACGAATTCAGAGAATTACAATACGTAGATTGAACTAAATAAACCAACCGTATTGTTGTGCTACAAGTTTCTTTATCTAAATTCACGTCTGGTTGCTACAAACGAAAGCCAAATGTGAAAAGAGTCTGGTACAAGTTTGGCATTTGTATCACTTCATCTTTTCTTCCTTGAACAAAACATGACGATTCACACGAGGATCAAACTTTCTAAATTCAAGTTTTGTTTGACTCGTTTGAAGCTTTTTGGTCTTCTTCTTTACATAGAAAAACCCAGTTCCAGCAGCTGAAACGAGCCTCACGAATAGAGCTCCAGCCTTCTTCTTATCACCCATTAGCTTATCTGGTAGAGACAACCAAAACAGATGAAAATTTGGTCTTCCAAAGATGTGTAGAACTAAATAGTTGACAAACCAACAATAATCAAAAGACAAGTTTAAATATAAAAGAAAATTTCAGATAGTGGTACATAATTGTTAGGTTAGTAGGTTGGCAATGGTTTAAAGGAGCTAATCAAGTGTTGATGGCCAGATAAATTTTAGTGTTTGGTAGATTATTGATTTTCATTCCAAAACCTGTGAGCCTACATCCGAACTTGCACAAAAACATGTTTGAAAAATTCTCCTATACCATACCCAAACAACAAAGCATAACCAGCATTATAGCAAAACTGTTTGCTGGTCCAAAATGAGTTTTTCTTCATTTGCTTTTGGTTTGTCTGATTCTAGTTTTCACTTAAATGTCATGGTTCATCAACGCTAAATATCGGGAGCGAGATCTCCTTAATGCATATATAGGCATATGAGCACTAGGCGCACAAACTCAGCAGGTCAAGTTGGAATGGAAAAAGTTCGAGCTAGATTCAAGTTCAACAAGGATTGCATGTATAGCTTGATCTGGCCTTCATCCAAGCTTACTTTTCAAGTGTGATGACAGAGAAAGAAAAGACAGAATACTTGATACGAAGAAAAGGAAGATGGAAACTTATATCCTTTTACCATCATATTGACTAACAAAAACAGAAAATTAGAAGTTCACATGATAAAGACAATCTCTTTATAGTTCACTCAAGACACAACGGTTATAGTATTCAACTCGGATGTCTTTCCTTTTTTCAAATTTTTTTTCTTTTTGAAAGAGAACAAGGCTTATGTCAACTTAGCTATGTAAACATCTTCAACAGGAAATTCGGAAATACCTGATGCCCTCAACCCAACCACCCCTTTCCGTCCAACCAACTAATATATCATTAATAATGAGCCAACAATTTCAAAAAGCAAAAAAGTAGTAGTGCAATTGTATGACCTAAACACCATTCAATACTTTTTTTCCCTTTTGACAAGTCCATTCACTTCTCCACATACGAATATTATATGAATGCCCTCAGGAAAACCCCCTGGGAAGGTTTCTTCTTCTCATTTCATCATAATCAGGCTGAGATGGGTCCTATATCCTATTAGTAAATATGTATTCTTTTTGTATCCTTTCACAGTTTCACTGCTATAAGAAAGAACTTTAACAGCAACAACAATTGTTACACAGATCAAACAGGAAGTAAAGGAAAGATTAGGACATAAGAAATGCGCTAGTGTTCATAGAGGTAATTTTTTTATCCAGAAGTTTTGTAATTAGTTTGTTAACTAGAGGCTTGGAATTACTCAACACCCTTCCTAGTAGGTGGTTGTAAATTTCGAGTGCTCTTTTAGGTGTATCAATTTGGGATGGTTTATGGTAATATATTCACAGTTATTACCAAAAAACAAAAAAAGCAACAACAAAAATCACAACAGCATGCTTCTCCACAATCACCCACCTACAAGTTCTAGTCTTGCTTAGGGAAATTTCTCAGGTCAAGAATTTCACTATAGAAGGGTCCTAATCAGCATATAGCCTCTTCTCTTACAAATAAGATATAAGGACAGCTCGTGTTATAGTAATAGTGAGACTGCATAAATAGTTCATACTATTTGTTTCTTTGACGCTTGATATACTTAGATATCATTTTCCTTTGGGCAAGATAAAAATACAAAAGCCTTCAGATATTCTTCAGAGGGCATTATTCTCTCCTAGAAGCTAACCACTCTCCCCAATTCAAGGTTTTGTTTAGTCCAAATAATATGTTGTATATAATAAATATATAAATTTCACACACACAAATGTAGGATGTTCCCATATCATTTAGGTATGATATTTCTACATCGGAAAAACCAGTCAACAAAAATGTTTACTGAGAAGTGCAATTTGCAGTGATGATTCCCAGATTATTGTATCCTCTCGCTTATATACTAAACATACTTAACGGCCAGTAAGTGTCATCAGAACTTACTCATAAATCACAAAGAGGTAATAAGAAAAAGGAGAAATAGAGATAGAAACTAACCTAGAAGATGGGTCTGTCGCAAATATGCCGTACGCCGCCTGTTTCCGTACCGTTCACCGCTTGCTGCCGCCCACCGTCAGTCGCAGGGATGGAGTGCAAAGAGAGAGAGAGAGGGAAGGGAATGAAAAAATAAGGGTTCTAGCCAAATAAATTTTAAAAAAATTAGGAAAAAGTCCTACTATGTTTTAACCGAAAACAATTCCCAACTATGGTTCTTGAGGATCAGATCATCCATATAATATACAAAATGAAATTCTAGATACTTAACATTTTTCTCTTTGAATCATTCCGAAATAGAAGAGGGTAAGATCCCGAATCAAAGTTATTCATTTCATTCGCCCCTACTATTACTATTCAAGACAAAAAGACGAATACGGAAAGGTCATGGGATTAGAACCCATAGGCAACGGACTGAGGTATGAAATGAAGGACGAGTTTCACTTGCTTCGGGCTCAAGTTTAGTGCATCATGTATTTTAGTTTTTTTTATTTAAATTTTTAAGATAAAATAAATACCGACTAATTCTTAAATAAATAATTATTTGTGTACTTTCCTATGTTTTATCTTCTTTATCAGTTTGGCTCATTTTATATATAACTTTGAAATTCTTCTTTTAATTCCTTAACCAAATATTAAAGACCTACCAAAACTAAATGTAGGTCCAACCTTCAGATTCACGACATTGATCAGTTATCAATTGCTCTCTTTCTTTATGGTCAGGTAATTCTTCGCGATTCACATCTATAGAACGGTCTAGTAGTACATTACAAAGGTTATATGACTTCTTAATTGGATTAACAAAAAAAGAAAAATATCAACTAGTAGCTAACCTTCTTTAGGATAGAAGTTTCCAAGTGCAATTTCAAGATGAAACTTCTTAGGCGTTAAACTGTTCCTAAGTTTGAAAATTCGAGAAGTGCAGTAGCTAGAATAAAAAATTGCTTTGTACAAAATCATTATACATACACTATAATAGGTCAGAAAGTGATAGCTTGTTTTGTCAAGCTTTTTTTTTTGGGGGAAAACGTATTTTTGGCTAGAATCAGAAGCAGTTTTGAAAAAGTAGGAAAAAATAGCTATTCTCCTGAAGCAGAAGTAGAAGCAAAAGCAGATTTGACTTTTTTTTCCTACCAAAAATACCCTTTGCAAAATATTATATATACCAAAACAACCTTACTTAGTTTAAATTATTAAGTAATATAAATGACTTTTGGGATAAACTTTCATATTTATTGAATGGTTTTTTGATATATTTAAATTATTTTGAAAGAATAAAGTACTTTTCAATTTTATTTTTATATTTTACTTAAATAAAATAAAAAAATTAATTATTATCTTTAATAATAAATATTTGTAATTATTTATCTACTTATATAATATTAACTATTAAACAAATCTCTTCATGTCCTTATTTGTAATTTGACACTTAAAAGCACTTTTTGAAAAGGTTGGCCAAAAATAATTATTGTTCAAAAGTGTTTTTCAAATTGATTAACCAAATACAAACTGCTTTTCTCAAAAAGTACTTTTGCAAAAAGTACTTCTAAAAATAAGCTGATTTTTCCTGTTTGGCCAAATAGGCTATGAGATTTGAACGCATGACCTCAATGAATCTTTGAACCCACATTACAGAGGGTTAGTATCAACATTTATACCAGACGGGTAATATGTTAAAGATGGGAAATGCATAAACAACAAGCACCAGTGGTCTAGTGGTAGAATAGTACCCTGCCACGGTACAGACCCGGGTTCGATTCCCGGCTGGTGCAATAAGTTGTATTTTTCTGTTTTTACCTTTTTTCCCCCTTTCCATTTTGAGCTCTTTTCATATAGTCAGAGTAATAATGTTCCTATGGAACGGCATGGTGCTTGCCACTGGAAGCTTTTTTGCATACTTAATCAGTTGTCTTAAGAATTGGAAACGCCCATTCTTTTTAGTTAATTTTGCGGCAATCTTTTTTTTTTGTTTTGGTAAATAAAGAATTCTATTATCAATTGGTCATTATGTAGAGAAAAAAATCAGCAGTTGAACATATTGTTCCAACAGCTGACGCTAATCAAAACATCTACTACCTGCTACTGCAAACTTCTACTACTACTCTAGTGCTAAGGATAAAAGTTCAACATTTCCAATTTTCGAGCAAGCTTTGGCTTCATTGATCCCCTGCAACAAATTTCTTGAATGATTTGCTTTATAATAAGATCTGGTGCTGAATATTTATCTTGAAACACCCTTTGATTTCTTTCCCTCCAAACATAGTATATGTTTTCTGCAAGTGCTATCCTATAAACTTCTGCTTCAGAGCTTCTCCCCTTTGCATGTTCTTCTGCCCACTTCAATTCCTCCGACCAATCCGTGGCCTTCCTGTTTACTCCTTGCCAAAACAAGATTTTATTCCAGATATAAGCAGCATAGTCACATTGAAAAAATAAGTGTGAAATACTCTCGATCCCACTATTACAGAGGGCAAGATTGTGCTACATCCATTCCCCAATGAAGTAATCTATTTCCGGTAAATATTCTTCCATGTGCCACCAACCTCAATATGTATACCCATTTAGGAGCTCCTAGATTATTGCATACTAGCTTTCTCCAAGAAACTTTAGGAAATTCTCCCCTCAATTTAGTGTACAGTTGTTTTATAGAGGAGATTGTCAAGGACTCAAATTCAGTTGCACCCATTCCTATTTGTTCAACATAGCTTCTGGTCTTTAGTATTTTTTGAACCACACATGATGCTTGTTTTGGTGTTATATCCCACACATGTATGCTCTTTATATAGTAACTGTGAATCCATTTACCCACAAGCTATCATTTTTAGTGCATAATCTCCATAAAAGCTTGCATATTGTAGCTTTATTCCAACATGCAACATCTAAAACATTTAGCCCTCCCTCCAGCAACTTGTGGGTAGCAAACTCTATCCCATGCTAGTAATGCCTTTTTTGATGCCTCCACCCCATGTGACCACAAGAATTTTCTACAAGTTGCTTCAATAACTTTGACAATCTTTGTAGGTAGCACAAATATCTGTGACCAAAATACTTGAATGAAAAATAATACATTTTTTATCAATTGAACTCTCCCTGCATAGGATAATAATTTTGATGTCCAACGGTGGATCCTTCCTATAATTTTTTCTAGCAGTGATTGGCACTGGATCACTGAGAGTCATTTAGGGCTTAGAGGCACCCCCAAATATCTAATTGGCAACTCGCCTTTTGCAAAACCAGTTACTTCTATAATCAGTTGTTGTACTGCTTGACCCACGCCTCCAAAATATATAGAACTTTTTTCTCTATTGACAATAAGTCCCGAAGCTAAGAAAAACTCCTGGAAACATTCAAATAGCATATGAACAGACTTTACAAAGAAGCAAATCATCTGCAAATCCTAGTTGAATAATTTTCATTTTCTCACATTTTGGGTGGTAATTGAAATCAGGTTCATGTCCCAGTCTCTTCAAAATTCTACTAAAGTATTCCATCACCAATACAAACAGAAATGAAGATAATGGGTCCCCATGTCTTAATCCTTTCTTTGCACCAAAAGCCTTTGATGATTGTCCATTGATTTGAATAGAATATGACACAGTTTTTAGGCAGACCATAATCCAATGAGTGAAATGAGAAGGAAAGTTTAGCCCATTCATAACCTGCTCCAGGAAAAATGCCTCATTAGGCTTTGGTAACATAAAATGGATTTTTTTCCATTTTCTTTGTCAAGGTTTTCTCTCTCTCTTAAGTCTACATACAAATGATAGAGGGAGGAATTTGATCAAAGAGAGAACACGATAGTTTTTCTTGGGTATAACGGTCGTGCCAAATTCAATTTGCGCGCACTTTAACTATTTCACCGATTATGAGCTATGTACCACCTATTAATATAGGCGCCGGCCAAGTAATTTTGTCCACTAAATTATAAACAAAAGAAGACTCAGCTTTTCATCATCCTAAAAGCCAATATTCCTACTACTACTAGTATATGTTTGATACAAGAGTTGGTCTAGGCTTTGTATATCTTGTATATTCATCCCAATATCAGTGCAATTATCAGCAGATTCCAGTGAGCTTTGTGGTGATGAGTTGGACTTCACATTATTATAAGTTGGATTATTAGCTGGAAATGACGATGTCATTAGTCCACTAATTGATGCCATATTATTGTTGCTCCATTGAGGATTATATGAATTGCTTGAATTGATGAAGCTTTGAGCTAGCTGAGCCTTCACTTGCATTAGTTGAGCCTGCAAGTATGCTACCTGAAATATATATCCAAGAAAGAAATTAATTTCCAAAAGAAGGCTTGAGAAATTACTACTGGAGCAGACACTATATACGACTATCTGTTTTAATACTTTGCTTTCAGGGTTAATTTCACGCATGTCACTGAACTTACTCACTAACAGTAAAGTACAATTTTTTAAAAAAAATTTGTCACATTAACATAACTGAACTTTTATTGCTACAGTGAATAAAATTACTAGTTATTTTAGTGTAACAAAAAATTTCTATGACTATATGATTATACTAAGATAAAATCATACGTAAAATCAGAATTTTGCTTTCAAGCATATATAGATGAATTTTGTTTATTCGGATGTCAAACATTATGGCTTTCGATGTAACACTAGTATCGGATTACTGATTGTTTCTAGCCATCAAAACTAGCCAATTTTAAGGAAGATCTCATTCTCACTTATTTATCATATATAATAATTAGCTAGTTGGAGAGAGATTTTTCAATTAAGTAACAACAAGTTGGTTTAGTGGAAGCTAGCTTTTGCCAAAAAATAGTACTATAATTTTATGCTTCAAAGGTTTATGGAAACATAAATGCAGATATGAAAAGGAAAAAAAAATTAAGAATCTGATGAGATATATACAGTATTTATTATACTTTTAAAATTATGAATTTCATGTACCTGTTGTTGTAAAGCGAAGATGTTGGCAACACAACCATAGACAGGATCTTTAATCCTAGCTTGAGCTTCATAAGCAATGGTGACAACAGCATCAGAACGATCAGCAACAGGAACATGCAACAACAATTTAGACACATTACTTGCTCCAAACACTTTGTGAATTGCAGCAAATTTAGCAGGACCTTCTTCTGAACAAAAATAAGGTGCAAAAATACAATCAACAGCACACTTTCGCCGCAGAAATTTGCATGCACCACAAGGTGATCCTGTCCCAGTTGCCATTGCCAATATAGCCCAAAACTTATTCAGAAAGCTAAAGAGAAAAGAAGGTTGAAAAAAGAAATGGGGTGCACGAGCACACTAGGAAATGATGGAGATATGAAATGTAAAGTGGGGCTAAATGGTGGATTTGGACAAGTCTTATAAGTCTGAAAGTAGGGACATAAAAGGTTTGTGTGTTGGGTTCTAAGGGGACAATTATTAATGGCTTATGCAATAGTCAATAAGAATTTGTTAGCCTAGTTTATATTATTCCATTTTTATACTACTGTATATGATTGCTTCTTAAGCTTATTTTGTTAACGCGGTATTCCCGTCAGCTTGTGCGCATCGGACTAATTTTAGGGTACCTATTATCGCTCACTAACAGAAGTATTGAACAACTTTATTTACTAAGGCTTAATTAAACAAATTGGATGAAATCACTCTTTTTTATACTTCCACTGAAATTTATACGTAAAACCTTATAATTCTTAATCCACATTATTGTTCTCTAAACTGCACCTTAAAACTATATGTTTGCTTCTTAAGTTCTTAGACTTAGCTGAATTTTTCGATTAGTTTATTAGTTCCAATTGAAGAAGAAAAGTCATTGTTTCTCTATTGTTTGTTTACCAGCTTTGCTAATATTTTTAATACACGGTTGGCGGGGCCAATGGCTATAGTCAATAAGAATTTGTTATCCTAGTTTATATTTTTCTATTTTTATACTATATAGATTGCTTCTTAAGTTTCTTTTATAATATTGTGTTCAGGTTAACTTGTACGCATTTTGATTATTAGGATATTAATAACATAAATATCGAATAACTCTATTTATTAAGGTTTGAATAGATTTGACGAACTAGAATTTGAACTTAAGGCTCGTAATTCTTAACTAAGGCTCGTAATTCTTAATTTATTTCATTGACCTCTAAACTATACTTGGAAGCTATATGCTTAGCTTGCTTCTTTATGTTCTTAGACTTGAATGAGTTTTTCGACTAGTTTATTAGTTCCAATTGAAGAAGAAAAGTTATTCTTTCAATAGTTAGGAAAAGAAGAATATATAGTGACACGGTTGGCGGGGCCATAGTCATTTGTCATGTTTAATTGAACGGTTACGTTTTATTTTTTAATAGCAGAAAATAATTGTCCATGTTTATTTGTTTAAGTATTTTCCCGCCGATCGCCGCACCTGGGAACTGCTGCTTCTTTTTTGTTACTTTCTCCAATTTTATTTTCTTTGCTATTGCCATTTGCGAATAACACGTGGAGATAAAGCTTTGCCGACAGCTTTTTTTGACTTTTTCACCGTCACAGCTTTCTTTGACATTTACTGCTTTCGTTCGTGTATATACATTCCTAGTGCAAATAATAATTTTACACTATTAATTTATTTTAATAGGATAGAGTAAGTAATTTGTTAATATTTATCATTGTAGATCATCTTGACGTAATGATATTAAAAAAATTACACTTTCAATTCACATAAGTTAAGCTCTTCGTTTGTTCATAAGATCTTACTAATTTAATAAAAATTTGTATATAATTAAGGGGTGTGGTAGGATATATAGATATGATCTTATTCTTAATCATAGATTTTGAATTTGAATTCCGATAATGAAATAAATTATGATACGGAGCACTTTCTCCTTTAATAAACCTTACGTAATGCGAATTCAAATTAATTAGAATATCTAAGCGAGAATCGGGTGGGAATAAAAGGAATCTGCATGTATAATCCCGCACTCTTATTGCTGGCTAGTGTTTACAAGTAGCCTTTTTAGCAAGTCTTTTTCCAAACATGCAAATGATATGGTTGGGAATTAGGGTGGGGGAAAGAACTGCAAGAAAACGAGAAGATATCATTAGTGTTGGAAGCAAGCACACGTTGGAGGTGAGAAGTGTCTAATAAATCAAATGTTTCTACTTAATTACCTAGGGTGAAAGAGAGTTGTAATTAATTAAGCAGGTTTACCTAACATTAAGCACAATTTATAATTTTAATATCCCGTAATCATAAACCCTTGTACTCTAATTCTCAGACAAAATGTCCCCTTGATTGACTGCAACTTTGCTAATTAATGATCCACAAATTTTATTAGCTCTAGCGTAGGTCAAACCAATCTTCCGTTCTTGAGCAAATTATATATACATTTTTTTTAATTTACTTGATACATAAGATTTCGTTTTTTCCCTACCAAACATCTTCTTAATACAAATTAAGTTTTTCTAAACATGCTTGGAAAGTGGACAAGATAATATGTACAATAGTTTGGAGTCAGGCTAGATGAATCTTAGCTTTTATATTCAGTTAAAGTATTCATTTTAGTATATTTACCTATACAATTTTCCCTTTTATCTAGTCTCGAGACTAATTATACTTGGTGAAAGTCATATAAACAAAATTTAATTATCAAAGATTAGACGGTTGATAAATGAATAGGGGAAAAATAAAAAGGCTAAAGAATAGGCAATGACCTACCTTTCCAAAAAGAATTAACAATCAAAAAGTTTAAATGAACCTTTCCTATCCCAATGACGGAGCTAAAGGAATAGGCGAAACTACTTCGCTAGAAAAGTGTACTATATATATATATATAAGGTTAATTTTACTAAAATGTATTTATATTGAAAGTTGAATTTCTTTGACTTTTTATATATTTACGTTATTCTTTTTTAATTTCCTTAGTAAAAATTCTGCATCCGACATTGTTTACTTCATTAGATCACGTATACTTCGAGCTAATGGCCAAATGTATAGAAAGCAAAAGAGCCAAATTTAGTCGAGCGGCAAGTAGCAATTTTGAAACTTCTTTTCGGCATTAAAAAATTGAGAGATGATGAAAAGAGATTTTGGTAAGTTGTTTAGTATAATAGACTCCATTAATTAATTGAACTAAAAAACGTAATTATTCGCTCAAGCCATTAATTTAAAAAGCACATGATGGGTGGGGCTTTTGTTGATCAGAATCAAATTTCAAGAAGGCTAGCTCTGACCAAAAGGTAAAACAATATAAAGAAGACAAATAAAAACAATAAAAAAAAATGCACTCTCATTTGTCTATTTAGTATTAAATAAATTAACAAGCATTTGGTAGTCACTTTATATTAGGAACCGTATCGCACTAAATCAATTTTTAGGTTTCTTTTAAAAAAATCGTATGTTTTTTTATAAATCTATAATCCTACCGGTAATTAGGGTAGATTTTTTATTTCACAAAAATAAACCGAAAAAATACCGAACCGTACCGAATAAATTTTACATGTGGAATATTTATATAGTAAGTTTAAAACTAATATGTAAAGCATTAAATTTTTCATTGAGCCTTGGAATTATGAAAACTGTTACAAGCCAACAAGTAATTAAACTCAAAATACTAATTCCTAAAACCTATTATGCTACTTATACTTAAATTGAGTTATTTCAAGTATCTTTATTAGCAAGACACAAAGTATTCTAGCGATTATGAGTAGCAAACTACAATGTATTGAATATGTTTCCTTTCATATAATTTAGATTTATCTTTTTAAATATTTAATATAAACTTTATTCTTGAGTCTCAGCTTGGTTAATATCTTTTATTTTCTTTGCTTTTACTTGATTTCTTTTACGTTACTGTCGAATAGTTGATGGATCTATACTCTAGCTAGCCATCTTTCATGTTTTTTAAATTCATCACCCTTTAAACAGTAAAAATGTCTAGAAAGTTTTGCTAAATCCTATAAAAGAACGTATGTTATCTACTGGTGAATTTAAATGACATTTAAAAAAATACCGAAAATTTACCGAATCATACCGATACCGAAGTGAAACTGACATGATTGGGACGGTTTCGAAAAGTCTAATTTTGGTTATACATAATAGAATAACCGAAAAATTGGTATGGTATAAATTTTATAAAATAACCGGCCGAACCGAACCATTGACACCCCTACTTTATATGGCCCGATCGGTTTGTCTTGAGCTTGACATGTATTTTAGAGGCGGATGCTCCAAAATTTGAACTTTATGAATTTGTACTAAACTCATTCATTTGAGTTACTGAGTTCGAATTTTAATATTATACATATTTAATATATTTCTTAACATATAACTGTCTCAGCCAAAAACTACTGTATTTGACTAAACCTATAACTTGTACTCTGCATCCGCCCATGTGACGTGGGCCAAGGAGAAAATTAAGGGGCTCGGCGGAAAGAGGAGTATACCATGAGAAAAGCAATAAGATCAATCTCTTTTGAAGAAACTATTAGGAGTTGTCTTGATTTTCCTACCATATTTGGTTTTCCCATCTCTTAAAGGAAAGGGCAACATGTATACCATAATTGAGTTTTCCTATTCTTAGAAGTAAATATAAATATTCCATATTTGGCGAGTCCCTTTTCTTGGAAAAAAATATTTTAGACTTCTATAAATTGAGGATCCTTCCTTCTTATTCAACAACATCCACAATGTAGCCATATGGGATTTGAGAGTCGTGTTTAGGAGGAGAACTTTATGGGACATGTGTTAGTGTGTCACTTGTGTTTGCCTATTCGTGAGGTTGTTCTCTCGATATTTTGTACTCTCTTTTATATAGTGAATTGCTCATCTCCGCCATGGATATAGGTCAATTGACCGAACCACGTTAAATATTTATGTCTCTTTTGGCATATTTCTTTTTTGTTGTTTGATTTATCGTCATTCAAAATTTACTTTATTAACTTTCATATGACATCTAATTATTTCGGTCCTAACATATACACAACATGAATTCTCGCAATGTAGTTGGACTCTCATGTCGATCAATCATCCTTCCGCGGAGGTAAATCTTTGCCTGCTAGGCAAGAGGATAGCAAGGACATGTATTTTTATTACTATGAAATTCACAAATGAAGTAGTTAATTACTGTTATCCTTTTTGTGGTGACGAAGCATGGTCTAATATATTTGCATTGTCCACATTAATAGCACTAATGGAAATCAACAAGATACAGCTGAAAAATACAGATGTATTTTCTCGTACTATGGTATCACCAGTCGAACCAAAAGTATAGAAGATTTAAAAACAATGGACAGGAAATTACAACATTCCGTCCCTGAATCGGGGTTATGAGATTGTGCCACTTGAACTAAAATCTATCTGAAATTCAATGTTTGAGGAC